CAACTATTACTGCTTTTCCAGTGCCACCAAGAGCAGAGTCGTATCCAACCCGTACCGCGAACTGGCGCTGTTCCATCAAAGTATCTGAGTTGTACCCAAACGGTGACCGCAGTGACACTGCCTTGCTCACTAGCAGGGCCAAGAGTGTTCCTAAACCATGCCGCTTGCGTCACCACCAGCTGATTAATCAAAATGCACGGACATACCATCTGATAGGTTCTCTCTCTGAACCAATCATTTTTTTCCAATCATTTGAATCACCCATTTTTGAGTAAGTAAAACTCCCAGGATAACACAATCACTTTGCAAACAAATGCTAACAAGGAGGAAACAAGCCACTTTAACCAAGTATAAAATTTATTAGTTATTTGTAACCTTTCCACTAAGAAAAGAAAAGTGAGCTTGCAGAGGCTGCAGGTTTGTGTTCATTACGGGGTCAGGGTTGCTTTTTGTGCCTTACGGGACATGGGTGGACAAGCCTCTTCCAGCGTAGAACTGAGGCAGGCAGCAGTGGCCAAGAAGATATCGCACCCCAAATAAGTCCTTTATAAACAGCTTCCAGAAGCCACTTCAGGGTCGTCCCCGTCTGTCGGGGGAGCTGCGCCACAACGTGGTTTAATCTTCTCCCATCTCCACATCTTCCTGTAATTTCTGCACCATCTTTTCTTCCATCTTCTTTGCTTTCGCTAAAATAAAGCAGATGGCTCACAAGTAGTATGCATACTGACTGACTGCATGTGCTGCCTGGTTTTCATCCTTATAGATCAGGGGTGGGGAACCTGTTCCATGGAGGGCCAGTATGGGTGCAGGTTTTTGGGATGACCTCTCAAATCAGCCAATAATAAAGCAGTGGTTCTCAACTCCAGTCCTGGGGACCCACTGTTATTGGCTGATTGTGAGGCCATCCCAAAAACCTGCACCCACACTGGCCCTCCATGGAACAGGTTCCTTACCCATGTTATAGATCCTAAAGATTATCCATTCCGAACCCCCAGTCCCCTGTCTGTATTCCACTGGACCACTGATCGCTGGGGGTTTTGCAAAGGGGTTGGTTAATTAGTACAAATAAACTATTTTCCACTTTTTACAATCCCTCATTTTTTGCAGTCTGTTTGCACTAAAAAAAAGGGATACAATTAACTCTATGAAATCACCGATCAATCTGCTGGTTCCAATCCCTCCCTCCCCTTTCAGCCGTTTTACCAGTCTGTGACATTTTTGTACAATGTAAGTCAGTCTATGAGCACCGAAGTTTGGGAACCCCTACTATAGATACATGAAGCGCGCTCCATGCTGCCACCTGCTGGAGGTTTGGAGCCAGGGAGCATTTATTTTAAACTTAATTACACAACCACCAAATATTTAACAAATGAGGTATTGAATTCTTCTCACAATCTGTAAATGGAAGCATGAGTTTGCACTCTGATTTCATTACAATGGAACTAAAACATCGCAGTAAAACAGAGAGAAATGGAAGTTCAGGTTTCACTGTGAAAGACAGCATTGCAACTCACACTTCAGCCATCCAGGCTGCACTAGTCAGCTTCTGAATGGAAGCCTGATCCTATACACGGAACTTCAGAACTAAAAGTGTGTGTGTGTGTGTGTGTGTGTGTGTGTGTGTGTGTGTGTGTGTGTGAGAGAGAGAGAGAGAGAGAGAAGCTCACCAGCGTGGGGGGCTCTGATCAGGTGAATGTTCTTCTTTACTTCACTGATGGCCTCTGATTTCTCCAACTCCCTTCCTTTCTTCAGCCTGTGAAAGTCGAGGACAGCAATGTGTCAGATCCTGTACGTGAGCGATGCTGTGCCTCTCTGTCATACATCAGGGCACAGTTTCCATCCAACTGGAGGTTCAGGGGTGTAACTTCAATTACACTCAGATGATAAATGGGAAAGTGCCTGTCGACAGCTTAAGTGGACTCAGAGCAAGAGTTCTTCAGTCACCTAGATTCACTTTAAAGTTTGTGTTAATTTAAATCCAAGGGAAAAAAACCTATAGACCTCTAGATACAAGATCTTAGGATAGATGCCTCAATGGTGTAACCAAGTCAAATTTCTTCAGAAACAAGGTCTGTTTAAGCCATATGGCATGGAAATTCATCACACAATGTTTCTGGTGGAATTCCACCACAAGAGAAGTAAGAGTGTTTAAAATAAACTTCTCGTTAAAAGAAAAAAAAATCCAAAATCCGGCCATTTCAGAAGTCAACAAAACACTGAACAGTACAGAAAGAGTATCGCGTGTATGTCTTTCATTAGGATTGGTTCCTGTACACCATAATTAAGAATTTCTATGTAACTTGTGCATTTTAAGGCAATTGTTTTAGCAAAATTTGCAGACCAAGCATGCAGACTGACATTCAAATGGAAACAATCTGATTTAATTTTACCCAAAGCAAACTACCCTGCAGTTTTAGGCACATGCCAATGTGGACAAGAGAATATCTTGCTTAAGGGGCATTAGTTTAAAAAATTAGCACACAAACGTAAATGCGCAGAATGCATCTGATCATGCAGGCTGAGCTGCAATGCAAGAGCCCACCTGTTGACGATGAACTGCGCCTGTCGTTTCTGCTTGATTTCCTCCACCCTCTTCATTGCTTCCACTGTAGGGGAGAAAGTTACCAGTTGAATCAGCTGAACGATTTAAATAACAAGCACCTTAGAATCGTGATGACAATGCAGGGCAGCTCTTACAAATACATTACATATTTTTGCAGAACTTCATTAAATGGATCTAAAGCATAAGGTTTAACTTATAAATATTAAATCTGTACAATTATAATAAACCACAGGGACGGGTTTTAATGGAGATTTGGTCTTAAATACCTGTCTTATTCCACAGCTCCCTCTGGTATTTAACTGGAATACTTCGGCGCTTCTCGAACTCAAGCGAATTATCCTACAAAAAAAATGCAAATGTACCTTATTTATCACAGGTGTGCGTAATAAAGGCCATCATATCATACTGGTACAACGAACACGTACCACAGTCAGCTCTTTGCCTGCGGATTTCCTGAAAGCCTTTGTCCACCTAGTCTTTCTTGGGTTGCGCTTCTTCTTAAAGTTTTTGTGACATTTTGACTTGCAGAACCTAAATACCTATAACAGACATCACAGTTTAAAGGGGGGGGGGGCACGCCGAAAATAACACCGTTTGCATGATTTCAACAAGACCTCCCCAACAGGGTTTGATGGCAGCCATAACTGCTTCGGCAACAACGCAGGGGAGATTAACAGTCCACGCTTAGATCGCCATGTTGTTTAAAGGAAAGAAAAAAAACTAAATATTAGGTGATTATTTTAAAACAGTGAGACATTTCTTCTTTACTATACACCAGTCAGCTGTCACGGTTAAAGGCCTAGCGCTAATAACGCAAGCAGTCGGTTAGCCTCCAAAAAACACGCTATATCGAACAAAAAAAGGACCTACCTTGCAGTCATTGCGCACAAACATCATCCCATGACCCGGATAAACCGGCCCGGAGCAAAAGTAACACTTTTCTATCCTCATTTTACACCTTCTTGTTTATCATTTACGGCACACGCATGTGTTTTCAGCCGCACACACGGGGACGGCCTCGAAAAGGAAGTAGATACATTAAGCTTCCGGTCAATGAGCCGCATCACGGCTGCCCCCTAGCGACCAGTTATCTCATCAGCAGAAGAGCCACCAAGATTACGTAATCAGCATTACGTAAGGCTGGTGGGAGGGCTCGCGATGAAATCGCTTTTTACATATAGTTTGAATGAAGCTCCGCCTATTACGTCTTAGGTTTGTTTTTTTAAATAGGATAAATGGAAAAACATTTAAAGTAGACCAACAAGTCAGTCGTTTTTGTAAGAAAAAGGCATACATTACGCCATTTATATATTTTTGCTATGTTGGAAAAATATCTGTATTATCCTATAATCAGATAGCCAACATCCATCGTTTGGCTGATGTAATATGTTTTGTTAGTTCGGAGCCACAGAATAAAATTCAAATAAATTTTTTTTATGAAGGGTTTGAGAGGTGACTCAGTGGGTATTATTATTTTCACACCTACTATGGTTTGACTCACGCCCAATTTCTCAGTCCATTTCTGAATGACCTAGACTCCTCCTGTGTTTATGTGAACTTTCACCTGAGATGTGATTGCGGTGAACTGGCATCTCCAAATTGCCTTTTGTGTTTGTATGTGTGGGTGGCTGCCCTTGGCTGCAGGCCCCCTACCTGTGACCGTGACCGATTAGGTTTATATTACTTTGTGGAGGACATATGTCCCCGACAATGTAATAAAAATCTGTCATTTTGATGTTGTGTGGGCCTTTTTCAGGTCCCCACAAAGATCTGTGAATGCAATCAAAAAACAAAAACGCCAAAAGTCTTGTATTTTGTTTGGTTACTTACAGTTAAGGATAGGGCTGGGTAGGGGTTAAAGTTGTTATGTTGGGATTAGAGTTTTCCCCCTAGAAATAAATGGGGAGTCCCCACAAAGATATAATTACAAACTTGTATGTGTGTGCATTTTTTAAATAGATGGCTTGTGCTCTTTTTTAAGAAGGGTTTCAGATGTGAGATTTTCTATATTCCATCCTCTGATCACTTATCAAAGACAGATGCAGGGGCGTATCCTAGGTAACACAGGGTACAGGGCCAGTGACCTCCAGGATGGGCGGCCAGTTCATCATAAGGCTCAACTATGCACAGTATGCAACCATGCGGACGATTCAGAGACGCCATTTAGCCGGACGACTCTTTGGGCTGCAGAGGAAACACATAAGACAGAAGAACATGCAAAGCCCACACAGAGTGGGGGGAGGATTCAGCTTCCCAAGCCTGAAGATGCTCAATGACACTGAACACAAGGTTTACTACCAGATTCTGAAATCCTAAAGGAAAGTCCTGCTACAAAAATAACCTTAACAAAAAGCGTTCAAGCCCAGAATCAGCTTGGAAAATATGTAACCTTTATGACAAATATGCAACATTGTACGACTAAAACAAACAACTGGAATACATTTCAACCATATCACATAACTTTAATAAATAAAATAAATGATTTTTATTAAAGAATACAGTTTATATATTTGGCATCGGGACAGTGTTTTGGAATTAATACAGTGTTTAAAACATGATGATACAACAGATTTGAATTGCATTGCAGATAATCACCCCACACATGTGTTTTACCAACATTCACCGTAATGAGACAGAAATCCCCATCTCAGGGCACCAAGCTGTGGGCCTGTCATAACCATGGACAGCCTCACTTAGCCGGCGTCTGACCCATGCAGACAGACAGAGGAACAGCAACCACACCCAGAACCCAACAGGACATAAAGCTGACATTCTTTCATGGCATGCAAGCGGAACTTCAAAACCTTTTTTCCTTTATTTAAATAAAAAAAAATTGAGTGTAATGGGACTTTAGGACGACCCCTAATTATGGTGGCTACCAAAGTGCGGCTCCAGCTCTGATTAAACAAGCTTTAATGGCACGACTCTATTAGATACCAAACTTCCACAGTGTTCTATACTGTTATGTTATACAATATTATTTAATGCAACAGTATACAACACGTGATACATTTGTATTTGTGCTGTATATAAACAGGTACTATAGTATCTGTTTATATGTTTATGTAGCATCACTTTGCTGTATAAAAATATTTGTATTAAAATGCATTATATGTTCACTTATTATCACTCTTGTCTTTGTTTAAATTTGACATTTTTTCCTCAATTAAGGCTACTGTCAGAGATTTAATGGCACAGTGGGAAAAAGCCAAAGATCAGCAGTTAAACTGAGTCCAGAATCCCATGATGCACCTGCAAAGACAGAGCCTGTCGCCATGGCGACTCTGTGGGTCTCCAGAAATAGGGCCATTTTGTGTGCTTTGCTGACAAAGACAGTAAAAGACTGAAAACTCCAGTGTCTTTTTTTGGTTAACAGAACATAGCTCTTGTCCCCCTCCCCCTCCAGTTTTCGAACCCTTCCCCACCCTAATTCAAGGCGAGTGAATGACAGACGTAGGCTGGGGGCGGCGTGGGTGGCGGAGGCAGCGGGGGCGGACGGTTAAGCTAGCAGGCACACTTTCCCGCGCTCGCCTCTGACTCCTCCTTGATCTTCTCGGTGCCACCGTGCCCATTGGGCTGCGTGACACTCGCTGGCACCCAGGACCTGTCCACACAGCGCTCCATGCGCTTCATGATGAGGTCCAGCAAAGCCTCCACAGCTTGGCTCACGTTGTGCCCACTGGCAGCGCTCGTCTCAAAGTACGGGATTCTGCAGACAAGTCATTACGGGGGTGGGGGACCCAGTTATTATTTGTTATTTATATATTCAACAGTCCTACAGCTACCCTGACTGCCAACCAGTAATGATAACAGAAAGCAAGATTTTTTCCCCCCCAACGCTGCTTTCTGGTCTCATCATAAGACTATTCAAACTAGCCTTTTTTTTGCCTTAAACTCAAGAACATCCTCCCTCAGCACAGAAAGACCCACCCTGCTGTCAAGATTTGTCCTCTAAAAATACAGTATATTACTTACAAATTAATATCTACTGAATATCTACAGACGGAATTCTGTCCATCAAAACTCTGCGTCCTTGAAGAGCAGATAAGACAACTAAATATTTACTAGAGAAAGGCTTCCTAACAGGGGTGGACCGGAACCATACCTACTGTGTAAGTATTCACGGGCATTACCGAGAACCAACACCCACAGGACTCTGCCCTCTGTGCAAATGTTGTCCGAGCAGCCAGGCAAAGAGCGACAGTCTCGTACCCAAATTTTTCTGCCAGCTTCTTGGCCTCCTCCTCTTTGACCTCCCTGTGCTCGTCCAGGTCGCTCTTGTTCCCGCACAGAACGATGTCCGGGTGCTCGCAGTAGGCGTGCATCTGTAACTGGCCTGGATCAGGGCAAAGGAGGGAAGGCATGTTTTCAGAGGTGGCAAACGACGGGCGTGCCCTACATGCCACCCAGACTCTCGGCTCGAAGTAATGAACCCAACTCATCCAGTTCCGGACGCTGAGGAAACTCTGCTCGCTCGTCAGATCGAACACGAGGAGGAATCCCATGGCATCCCGGAAGAAAGCCGTCGTCAAACTGCGAAACCTGGAAACGGGAAGGGAGAATGCCAGGAAAGAAAGAAGTCATCTGTGATAAAAGATTTTTTGGTGAAACGAGGCTTCAGTCACCCTGCATGCACAGTTTTTTTTTTTTATACTTTATCTATATTTACCTTTGACATACACAAGACCTACACCTTAAGTACGGTTACACCCCCCGAGAAGCTGCACAGCTGTCACGTTACAGAGAATCACAATTCCACAGAGGGTGTGTGGCCGGCAAACGGCACGCCCCCCCAGCCAGGCCCCCCACCTCTCTTGTCCTGCTGTGTCCCACAGCTGGAGGTGAATCCGCTGGGCCTTGCCAGGCGTCCCATCGGCGCCGTCACGCTTGTACACCTGCGGGACGCGGGCGGGACAGGTGTTAGGGTTGGAGGCTGAGCCCTGGGTGCACAAGCGCTGCCCCGAGGACGGAAAAACAAAATGACGCTATTTATTAGCTTAGGCAGCGCTTGTGTCCAGAGAGGGCTAGGGGTCAAACTGGGGCTAGGGGTCTGGTTAGCATAGGCATCGCCCCCCCTCCCAACTGGAGGCCGCACTCGTATTCCTCTGAACATCCGCACTGTCACCAAGGAGCCACATGTGTATCGGGCCATGCTGGTGTTTGCTCACTTCTCCTCCCGTGTTTATTTTCCAGGAGTAAGCTCTAAGGTCAACAGTGCGTCCCGCATATGACACTCTCTGGCTTCTCAGCCTTTACTTCCTCACTCTTTGTGCCACAGAGCTGCTCACACCTGGCCTGCAGACTGGGGGGTTAAAACCTCTGAAGGTGGTTCTGGGGAGAAAAGCCCTTGAGCCCTATGTTTTTTTTTTTTTAAATACACACATATATTGGCATGCCTATCTAAATGGGGACCTTCCATTCATTTCTATGGGAAAAACCCTGATCCCCATCACAATGCCCTTAACCCCTACCCAGCCTTAACCATAAGTAACCAAACAAAATACAAGACTTTTGGCATTTTTACTGAGAGCATTATTACTGGACATCCTGATCACTATGCTATCAGTTTCCATACTTTATCAAAGTGGCAGCTAGACATTTTTGAGAAAAAGTGAATGTGTTCAAGAGATTTTCACCTTCTAGAACACCAGGCCCTGCAATCATAAAGCACTGAAGCACCTGTGATTATATCATCATATAATTACAAGCCTACGCATCAATCCAGAAAACAAAGATTCTCAGAGTCTTGTTATTACAAGTTGCATGATGAAACTTACCACCCGTTTCTCTCTGAAGTCTATGCCCACTGTGGTAATAAACTTGGTGTTGAACTTGCTGTCCGTGTACTGATACAGGAAGCTGGTCTTGCCCACGCCGGAGTCACCAAGGGCTAGGAATTTGATGAGGTAATCATAGTCCCCATCAGACATAGTGAGCGTCTATTTCTGAGCTGTAAGCCAGAGAGAGAGCATGATGGTGAATAGCAGGCCGTGAGCATGGGACACTGGGAGATGAGGTGTAAAAAAACCTGTGACGTGACATCAAGGGTTCAGTCACAGCCACTGAGGCAGCAAACAGGAACTAGTGTTCATGTTTAATGGGGGCCATTTTGTCCTGAAGGACAGAGGAATATTCAGAGAGTCATTCGCCTTGAGCAAGACAAGCCAGGGCAGAATTCTCTTGCAAAACTATTCACGTTGGAAATTACAGGGGCCACGTAGAGATGTCAACACCCACGGTGAATTACTGGGATTAGGGTTTTGGCCGTAGAAATGAATGGGGAAAGACATGAGTGTGTGTGTCTGTGTGTGTGTGTGTGTGTCCAAGCTGACTTGGCACACAGAGGTCTATGGAGCAGGGTAAGAGCTTAGAGCGGAGCCCTGAGGGCCAGTAGACGCTCTGCACGGTGCTCAGACAGGCCCCGCATTCCTCAGCAATCCGCGGCACTTCAGACTATAAACAAACTAAAGAAAAGTCACTGGTTCCTACGAGCAGCTGCTCGGGCGCGACTAGATCACCCCTGTTTAGCTTACGTCACACAGGCTTCGCCCAGCCGGGGCTCGGCAGCCATGCTGATACCTGTAGGGGAGCGGCCCAGTAACGCTGCTGCTTGCATCATCATCCCGACGAGCCACTTGGGCACAAAGCCAGGCTCCCAGCCTGCGGCCTCTGGGTAATGCTGAGGATCCCTGGGTAATCGGCCCAGTATGGGGGCAGCGGTGGGGGCGCGTGTCATGCGCTCTGGGCTCCTCCACAGTGCGTCTGACTGTTCAGACCACCCCCATTCAGGAGGGGGCGAGAATGCGGCCGTGTAAACACACTCTGTGAAACTCTCACTTTCAAGCAAAAAGTACCCAGAGCCTCTGGGAAGGAATCCCTTCGCCAGACAAACGACATGCAAGAAACGAAAATGGAGAGGCAGTCTGCAGATCGGCACGTGTGTCTGCGTGCAAAGCAGCGAGGTGGCGACGCAGACCCAAGGAGGATTTAAAATTGAGCGTGCGTCGCCTATCGTCACCAAACTCACACCCGGTGACAGCATTAGTCACGCAGGGTGTTACGAAACACTATTAACATCGAAAGTGTGACATGGAGAAAAAAAAATGCAAGGGCCAAATATTCAAAATACTGTATAATGTCACACAGGGTAAACAAAACATGCAGGAATTTACTTAAGTTGAAGACTTTGGAGGAAAAGAGACCTGTGTCACATACGGTTCTGTGTTTGACTACAAATAAAAATAGCAATCACTTCCAGTTGCACATGACATAATTTGCTCCACTCTGAATAAGAGGGAAAATATAAAACTACAAGATCCACATGAAGGTGGAGGATGAACGAATTTGAGAGGTAAATAACTGAACCGGCATGAACAGAGAGGCTATATTGAAATACTCTGTTTCGTCATGCCAGAGGGAAATACGGAGCCTTATCTCTGGACCTGCCTGAAGTATGGCACCCCCCTCGGGGAGGGGTCAGCGGAGCCCACAGGCCAGGCCGCCGCAGAGGCTGGGGGGCCGAGGAGGCTGCAGCTCACCCACGGAGAGGCTGGGCTCCCTCCCCCATGCACCCTGGGATCTAGGAGGCCTGCAGCCCCCCTAGGGAACCATCCCATCCAGGTCTGCTGCACCCCCAATCGTCATTAAAAAAATGACAATTCGGTTAATCAAGTGTTTCTCAAATCGCTCCTCAGGAACACCCAGTCAGTCACATTTTTGCTCCCTCCCAGCTCCTGGCAAAAATTTGGACAATCTTGCAGGAAGCAGGGAGGGAGCAAAAACATGGAGAGTCTAGGGTTCCCCAAGGAGCAATTTGAGAAAGACTGACTTAATTGTTTGTTAAAGGATACACAGCCATCTTTGAGTCTTCCAGGCTGTGAAAGAATTCATTCTTACATGTCCAATACACCCCTTTTCAGTCAGATTAGTAGATTTCCTAATCATATGTGTTATTTTTCAGAAGATACATTAAAAACAAAAAGTCCCAGTTCACCGTCTCTGGGATGAGAGACTGGGAGGTTATCACGGTTTAAAACCTCATCAGGGGCTTATAAATGGGAGACCACAATTTTCCATTTCCCAGTCTGGGGACTGTTCTGGCAGAGACCGGAATTTTCCATTCATTCACAGAGGGACCACAGCATCAAGATAATGGCTGACTTCGTACTTTGAGAACATTTCGGATGCCAGCCTATGCCTGCAAATAATAGCCAGTGCTACCTGAGACCCCTCTTGCGATTCCGCAACGCTTTGACAAAACTTTTGATTTTAACAAACGCCCAGGTCCAACAACAGCAAGCGCCATGACAACAGAGTAGTCTCTGGTCCCTGTAGCCTTAAAAAAAAAAAAAAATTAAATGGAGATGAAGTGGCCTCCGTGGGTGTAGAAAGCGGACATGAAGATCTCAAATAAATGTACGCACTGCCGCAGATGAGCGCAGCTACGAAAACAGCGCGATGCTCTGCGGGTCACTAGCAACCAAGCAGAATCTGGACAACCCAAAAAAAGTGAGATTTACTTCTGTGAATCTACGGCAACAGAGCCATTAAAATGGCCTATGGCCGGAAGCAAAGCCTAGCAGCCAGCTAACACTGGCAACGTGCATTTCTGCGCCAACGACAAGCTAAGCTGCGAGCAGAAGAAGAGGCGCAGTCACACGCAGGGCTGACTGCCAGTGATCATGTTCTGTTCCAGTACTCTGGGATTTGGAGAAATTATACTGCATATACATTTAACTCATTACTAATTCATTATCCAGTAAATGTAGTTTTGCTGCAGATTGACGGCTGCTTATCCAGCTTTCCTTTTGGCTTCTCTTCCGGCCTTTTCCAGAATCCTTGTGTTCTTGGTATAAAGATCCAGCACTTATGAAACAAAATATCTGCAGGTCAATTACCAAACACAATGGAACGTAATTCTGCAGACTTGTTGAAAAAAATATTTTATATGAAACTTGTACTTTTAATCCTGAGTTAATAAACTGGTCTCTCCGGGGTGCATAAGCATTTGTTTACAAGCACTTATTACAACATCTACAGAGACAAGAGGCTCAGCGTTACAAAGAGCCACGTCAGATTACATGTTCTTTCTTTTGTACGATAATTGCCAACAGGTTCTATCACAGCGATACACTCATGGATTTCAAAATCACTTGAGCTAAACCAACTCCATGCTCGCATTTTCACCTTCGTGGGCCTACCGCTCTTCAAACACATGCACCATCGAAACAGACGCGCCTCTAAATGGGTCCCTAAGTGGCCCCAAGTTTGCACGGACAGAGGTTCGACATTTCACTTACACCACGCTTGACATTATTGTCTAATGGGAAGAAACTGGTCCAACTGCCAGGATGAGCCCAGCCTTTCATTGTTCTGAGTACATAATAACAGGACGACACTGACACTGATTTTTCATTTGGCTCAAACTGGAGTTGTCATGGACGACATGGCCAGATGAAAACCATTAGCTTATGTACTTGCCATGACTGGTTAAGAGATTCAAAGACAACTACAGCAAGGCACATCTCTATGAAACACCACACAGACACACACACACACACACACACAGCCACATTAATATACCCCTCTGACAGAGAATTTGACTAAACACTGATGGGACAAACGACCAGCTGTGGCCTGCTGCTGTAGCACTAAAGAGCTGTCATCCTGTCCTTTTAGTAGTGCAAATGAGAACACTGATCCCACACAATACGTGGTGCTTTACAGTGAAAGTTATACACACTATACAAGTAAACACATGGATCCGTAAACTAATAAATAAAGCAGGTAAATATTTTTTCATTAAAAAGGTTATGATATAAAATAAATTAACATAAAGCGACTCTATATCTTAAAATTTTAGGTACTCAAAAGCTGGATAGTTTAATGAGGATTTTCAAGTACGTGCCTGACTTAAACGGTGCGGGAACTTTAGAATCGTTCATATATAGCTGAACCGAAACGGCTCCAAAATAATGAAAATGTGCTCCGTACTGGCAACAGGGCCGAAACGCCGACGCCAGACTGCGGCGGATAACCATCAGTAGCTGAAACGACGTGCAGCAGCAGGTCAGATCGCAGTAATAAAGCCGTGTGTGTGATTATAGTGGCCGCCCGAGGAGCGCATGGGTGCACTCAGCCCACCTGACAGCCGTGGGGCGCCTCGCTGACACGAATAGCAAGCATCGTTACCATCGCGCATCGGGGCTCTTTACATCACACCATGGGGGCTGCGCTGCCCCTAAGGCGATTTGCAACCAACAAAGCGGATTTTAACTAGTTTACATCAAGCTTTTACTCGATGACACTAAAGTGCGCGATGCCATCAGCTCTAGAGATTATTTGACACCATATTCCAATGATAAAAGCCGAAACTTCAATATATATAATCAAATATAGACATGCAAATAGTGTTTAGCCTATTTGTGAGGACGCTATTAAAAGCCGTCTTACCAGTTCCGTCAATCTGAAAGTCAGGAGACGCGCATGAGATGCAACGAAGCGTGGGAAAAGCAGCGCTTTCTGCCTTCTGCTGCTTGCTTGTGGTTAAGCTTACTGTACTTTTATACTTTTCCTGGATAAAGTTGCTGCACTTTCTTCCTCGATTGAACATCACTTCCCGTTTTGCTGAGCATAGGTCCTCCTCTCTATCCACGCACACCCAGGATGTAGCGATCCGAGCCGCAGCCTGGAGCGCCGCCCTCTTCGCGCTTCATGTGCCGGTTTCACAAGCGCCGATTCTGACTTAATGCCTTTCTTACATATAGGCCTATAATGCAACAAGTATCCATGAGAAGTGCGTTCTGCAGTCGTTTAGTAAGCGTGGCGAATACGCCGGTGTGCATAAACGCAGAGCTGTTTTGGGCTGTAGTTACTCCACGTCGAATGAGACATAAACTTTTAAATTATGTTGGTTCTGGAAATTCAACATATCATTGGAAAGAAATGGCTACATTTATAATATGCAATCTGAACTGAATAATTTTGAACGGTAATCCTTTGTTGGTTCAGCTCGGAGCTACTTGTAATGCTAGGAACCCGAACCCTAACCCCCATTTGGTCTACGCTCACACCAAAGGTTTATTTTCAAGTAAGATTAAGAACCACGTCGCTCTTGTTATTTTGGAGACTGGAGTGTACTCCGTCCATTTTATAATCATGAATAAACAAATAAGTACATAATAATGTGGCAGTATTAGGTATTTATCAGTTTACTTTTCAAGCACTAAATGTTTTAAAGAATGTTGCAGCTGTTCTAAAACATCTATGCATGCATCATCATTTACATGATAGGCTATGTAAATTAATCATTTACATGATATGTATTAATATCCGTAAAATAACTTTACACAACAAATTATGCTACATTTTATCGTTAATGTCTTATTGTCACGAAGATGAATGGAATATTTACACAGCAAAAAATTGTTGATTTTTATTAAAGTTACAAAAAAATCCTACATTAATAGAAAATAGAACATTATTTTTTAAACCTAAACATTTCGTGGCAGCAAATTACATTTTCTAATTAACAATTTCTGTATCTTTAATGTATACACCCATTTTATTTATCAGAATAAATTCATTAAAACCGGAGTTAAAAGAACGGAATATCTATAATAACTATTATACAATTAAGAGAACATACAAGGATAAATCAGTTTAGCTTAAAGCTAAAGGCTAAAGCTAACATTTCTACGTTTCTGTTTTTTACTCCAGTTCAGTGTTAGCCGTGTCTCCCACGGAGCTGTCCGGGCACCGTCCGCCTCCCGTCTCCTCTTGGGTGTGGGACGTGAGTCAGATATTCTTTTCTCTTTTAAGATTTCAGACGGTGTGTGTCTAAACAGACGTCTATCACGCAGAGGCACTGTGCGAATGACAGCGATTGATGTAACAATACAATTCATGATCTTAAGCACTGATTAGCATCTTTGTTGCTTTCATTATAATGCAAGTGTTATCGATGCACTGAAAAATCAATGGATAAATTACATGTAAATTCACTGTACATTAGAGGTCTCATTATGTTTTTATAGATACTATGAAAACCATAGTTAGTTACTGCCCTATCATTTTGACAGGGATGTACAGCAGCAAGTATAACTTGCTACTCGCCTGAAAAACAAAACTTACCTCTGGGCATACCACTGGGCATTGTCATCTCCAAAGAAGTACCTGTAGACAGACCTGTCAAGATCTTCAAACACATTCTTGTTCAAGCACTTGTATTCATCTATGTCTTTCAGGTAGTCCTCTACCCCACTGACAAAGTCTGTAAACAGCATCTGATCATGGATGAAGACACCATTGTGGAAGAAGCTGTCGATGAAGCTCTCCAGCTCCTCCCAGTGGTGGAAGTGATCCACCTCTTGCTGGAGGTATGTGTAAATAAGCTGGCTGAACTCACTCAGTTGGATGGGGTTGAGTGCCTTATTGAAGAGGCTTGTGAACTCTTGGCTTGCACAGTCAAACACCCCTGAGCATCCCTTAGTTCTTGTGTGAGCTGTCACTTCTGGGTACACATGAACTCTGATCCCTGGAATCAGTGTTTCCCTGCCTGCCTGAAAGCTGTCAGAGGTCTGCTGCAGGTGGTGATGTTTGTGTGGCCAGGAGACTCCATCGGCACGACCCCCTGAGCACACGTGCCTTTGGCTGCAGTGTTTCCCTTTGACGTCACTCCTTTCCAAAAGTCTGCTGAGTCCAGGAAGTTCTTTCTTCCTCAAGAAACTCTGTGTCATTTCCTTTAAGTTGTAGAAAGTAGACATGACAGAATCCAAGAACTTTTGGTTTTCCTTGACATCTTCTTTTTCCCTCTTGACCTCCTCCCTGTGATGGTATTCCAGCTCCCTGGAGATGTTCTTCACAACCTGGAACACATGCTTGACTTTCCCTACCATGCTACCCTTGGGGACCTTGACTCTGAGCCTCTTGTCCCATTTTGTCCTCTTGTCTATGTCCTGCACATACAGCCTCTGCCACAGGTCGGAACGCCGCTGCTCGAAGTTCAGCCTCTTCTCCAGCTCCACTAGCCGGGCTTGCAGCATCTCTGTTTCTAGGTCACCTGTCCCCCAGAAGCCCTCAATGTGCCCCCTCAGCTGCCGCAGCTCCTCCTTCAGGAGGCCTGTCACACGCCTCTCCCTGTCCAGCTCCTTGTGCAGCACTTGTGCCTCTGCGATCAGCACGTCCCGTAGTCCGCGGAAGCTCCGCCCGTGCTGGTTCTCCTTGGGCGGGACCGAGCGCACCCCCACGCCCTTCCATTCCAGGTTCCGGATCTGCATGCGCAGGTTACGCAGCTCTTCCTGCAAGGTGGACACGGACTTCTCCTCACAGACCAGCAGGCTCTTCAGCTGCCGGTTCTCCACAGACAGGTGATCCGGACGTGATGAGGTGCGCCTCTCCTCAACTTCCTGCTTTAGTTTTTGAATAAATAGATGTTCAAATATGAACTCTTTCTCAGTTCTTCTCTTTCTCCAAGTGCCATGACATGTTTACCTATGTTTTTTAATAGTTATGGAGCATATATCACAATTCTGGGCAACTTGGCAAAATGCCGCCTTGGGCCCACCTTGCCAATTTTAAGGAATACACAAGTAATAGCACACTGCTATACTATTTGTGCCCCCTACAGTGCTACCATATCATTTAAATCAGAAAACTGAAGTCAGTGCAAATTTCAGCTGTGGTGACGCGTCTGTCTGCTGCCCTTTACCTGCAACGCCCCCTGTTGGAGTCTGAGCTGGGGGCTGTCCTTCTTTTTCCTGTCCGTGCTCTCAGTGCTGGGTGGGGCCCAGGTGCACTTCTGCTTTGGATCACCTGTTAGATACTCATTCACTTCCTGTAACGGAGGAGTTCCTGATGTCAGTGTGACTGAAGCTGTCACACTGAAGACACCAATTGGCCCAACTGTATTGTTATGGACTGCAGAAGGAAAGATATAATTCATAGGAATATAATTTGATGAATTAGAAAATGTTTCTTCAGCCAAGGCTGGTGACCTTGCTCGCAATGATATTGCCTCCTCCCTGCTGGTGCCAGGACAGAGCTCCTCTCACACCGCTTAGATCTTCCCCGGGGACCGTCTCCACCAGCTCCAGCTTTGGCTCAACTGGTACCGTTCCATCTGTGAGTGGAGTAGGGGTTGCCAAAGGTGGGTCGTGCGGCAAATTACATCAGAAGTGCCCCCCCCCACCCCCACCAAACACAGGCCAGACACAGAAACCATCAAACGAGGATCCATCAGGCCAGACACAGAACCGGCCGGGTCAAAGAAGCCAGCCTCCCTGTTCCACAAAACACATAGTGTCACATCTAAGGCTTTCGACTAATCTGAATAAGAACTCACCTTATTCCCAGTATGTATGAATATACTAGAATGGTTTGTGGTCCAGTGGCAAACATGAAGCACACAACAATATAACAAGATATACAGGGGAACACATAGACACAATGTTTTTGTATGATAAAAATGGGGTCCTTATGTCCGAATCGCACCTTGCCGGAGCACAGCTCCGCCTCCTTATGTCCGAATTTCACCTTGCCGGAGCACAGCTCCGCCTCCTTATGTCCGAATCGCACCTGGCCGGAGCACAGCTACGCCTCCTTATGTCCGAATCGCACCTTGCTGGAGCACAGCTCCGCCTCCTTATGTCCGAATGGCACCTTGCTGGAGCACAGCTCCGCCTCCTTATGGCCGAATCGCACCTTGCCGGAGCACAGCTCCGCCTCCTTATGTCCGAATCGCACCTTGCTGGAGCACAGCTCCGCCTCCTTATGT